ACAGTGGTTACTAGAGGCTGGGAAAGGTAGTGCACTGGGGGATAGACAGAGATTGGTTAAAATATATAAAATTATAGCTAGTTAGGAGGAATAAATTCTAGTCTTCCCTACAGCACTATAGGCTGACTATAGTTAAAAATAATTTATTATATATTTTTAAATAGCTGGAGGAGAGGATATTGAATGTACTTAACACAAAGAAATGATGCTGGACACGATGGCTCATACCTGTAATCCCAGCCCTTTGGGAGGCTGAGGCAGGAGGATTATGTGAGCCCAGAAGTTCAAGACCAGCCTGGCCAACTAGGCGACACTACATCTTTACTAAAAGTAAAAAAAAATAATAGTCGGGCATGGTGGCCCATGCCTGTGGTCCCTGCTACTCAGGAGGCTGAGGTGGGAGGAATGTTGGAGCCCAGGAGTTGGGAGGCTGCAGTGAGCCGTGTTTGTGCCACTGCACTCCAGGGTGGGTGGCTTAAAAAAGATGAAAATCAGTCTCATTTGAGGAATATACACTGTATGTATCAAAACATCATTATGTACTCCATCAATATGGACAAATATTATGTGTCAATTAGTAAATTAATTTTTATTTTCAAAATAAAGGAGTTTGGGCAATTCTGTAAAAAGAAAAAGAAAAAAAGTAATTGGGTGCCTAGGGCTGGGTGGGAAGGAAGGGTTTTACCTCATACAAGAGGAATCCTGTCCTTACCTGAGCTCACCACAAAAGATACCTTATCTTGTTATGCTTGGATTTGTACCAAGGACCTGGGCAGGATCTATAAACCTAACACAAAGTATCATGTGTAGTCATTGTAACTTTGAAGAGGGATATTGTCATTTTCTTCCAGTATCACATTAATTTTTACTTAATTTTAAATTCTTACTTGATAACTTTAAAACCTTGGAAATGTGAGAAAGCTCTTCTTTTATCCTCTTCCCTATCATGACCTTTACATAACAGAAAAGGAAACAGCATTGGTCAGGGAGCCAGAAAGAGCAGGCTCCTGGCCTGACTTTGCTCCTACTTGTCTACAGAAGTTACTTAATCTCTTTGAGCCTTAGTTTCTTCAGCTTTACATAGGTGATAACATTCTTTGCTTAGTGTAATTTTTTTTGAGATGGTGTCTCACTCTTGTTGCCCAGGCTGGAGTGCATTGGCGTGATCTTGGCTCACTGCAACCTCTGCCTCCCGGGTTTAAGCGATTCTCCTGCCTCAGCCTCCTGAGTAGCTGGGATTACAGGTATGTGCCACCATGCCTGGCCAATTTTTGTATTTTTAGTAGAGACGGGGTTTCTCCATGTTGGTCAGGTTGGTCTCGAACTCTCGGCCACCCATAGTGCTAGGATTACAGGTGTGAGCCACGGGGACTGGCCACTTCAGTGTAATTTTGAAAAGTGTAACAGAATGTAAATATAGGCTGACATTGTCAATCATTATTAATAATTATTATGTTTAGGTTGCATTTCTAAATATAAAAAGATAAAGCATATAGTACAGCAATGCTTAGGCTTGGGAAGAATACAAAGAAATGAGGTCAGAAAGAATAAGGACTGGAAAAATAAAACACATTGGTAATTATAAAAAGATAAAAAATGACAGAGTTGCAATGGAAAGGTCAATACAAACTTTTAAATTATTTTTCTAATTATATCGCACATTCTACATCCTGCTGTGGTAGACATCCATGGTTTTTTTCTGCCTTGTAACCTGCCCTCTTCTGGCAACAGCAAGCTTTCCTTTCAATTGCTTTTCCCACATTCCATGGTTTTCTGGTGGGTTGCCAAACCCCACACACGATATTCTATTTACCTAGCTTTGGGGGTATGCCAGGTGACCAAAGCCGCCAATCAGCATCCTTCCTTGAAATTATTTATATAGATGTGAAGGGAGAAATCTTTGTTCTCTGGAGATCTAAATGGGATTTTTTTTTTTTAATTGGAGCTCTGTTGCCTGTACAATAAACAACTACATTTCCTCATCCTGCCTTTCTTGCTGCATAGAGGCACTGAAGATTGGGCACTGAGATCTTTTGAGGGACCCGAATAAGATCTTCCCCATACCTTCACATTTTTCTTCTATGGACCATGTTTGGTAGATAATGGAATTTGTTTCTTTTTTCTTTTTTTGAGGCAGAGTCTCACTCTGTCGCCCAGGCAGGAGTGCCGCGGCGCAATCTCGGCCCACTAGAATATTCAACTCCTGGGTTCAGGCAATTCTTGTGCCTTAGCCTCCTGAGTAGCTGGGATTGCAAGCATGTGCCACAACGCCTGGCTTTTTTTTTCTTTGAGACACATCCTCGCTCTGTCTCCCAGGCTGGAGTGCAGTGGAGTGATCTCGATTCACTGCAACCTCCGCTTTCCGGCTTCAAGCGATTCTCCTGCGTCAGCCTTCCGAGTAGCTGGGATTACAGAGGCCCGCCACAACGCCCGGCTAATTTTTGTGTTTTTTAGTAGAGTCGGGGTTTCACCGTGGTCTCCTACTACTGACCTCATGCAATCCGCCCATTTCGGCCTCCCAAAGTTCTAGGATAATAGGCGTGAGCCAACTACCTCGGCCAGCCCAGCAAATTTTTGTAATTTTAGTAGAGACAGGGTTTCGCCATGTTGGTCAGGCTGGTCTCGAACCCTGGTCTCAAGCAATCTGCCCACCTCGGCCTCCCAAAGTGCTGGAATTACAGGCGTGAGCCACACCACCTGGCTGATAATGAAATTTCTAAGCACTTAACAGGCACTCGAAAGGCTCTGGAGTTTTTTGAAAAACAGGATAACCTGTAGTAAAAGAAAATCTTGGCCAGGGCGGCAGGAAACTTACTTTCCCTTTTTTTTCTTTAAATACCAAGTCTATTTAGTAGGCTGTGGCATCTCTAGGTGGCTAAAATACTTAATTTGTTGATATCATTAAACATCTAGTGTTCAAATTTCTCAAATTGTCTTAAAAATTTTGTTGTAACCCTTGGTTTGTTTGAATCAAGATCCAAATAACGAAACATAGTTTTTATCATCAGGCCCACTGGCTGGTTACACTTTATCTCTTTTCAAAATAAATGTTTGTCACTGTAACATATTTCCATAAGTAAGAGAATTGAGAGATTAAGGCTTTACAAATATCAGCTAGGCTCTTGTAATTAAATTACGGATTCGCATAAGTAATATCTTGAAGTTAATCTTGCACATTAGGACTCAAAAGGCAGGAATGACCAAAAAAACCCATTTATGTTGATTTCACAATCTTTGGGGGGAGGTCTCTATCTATTTTGATTGTTGGAAACAGAGACCCACGCTTTGGCCACTATGTAACAAAGTACTAAAATTGTGTAATAATGCAAACTCATTGATACGTATATTATAAATAAATACGTTTATTACAAATCTGTAGCTTTATTTACAACTAACATCCTTATTTTTGTCCTATATGCTCTCGTTCGTTCTCAAATACAGTGAAGGGCTGAGAGAGCATATAATCCCCTCCGGGCATAAATATATGTATTTATTTTGCTTCAACTCAAATATGAAAGGACTTGAAAATTATTATAGTCACCATAACTTAATTCTTCCAAAGAGAAGCTGCCAAGAGTGAGGCACATTTAACCATGCATAATCTCCACCCATCTCATCAAATAAACGGAACAGTGATGAACATACTTGCTAAGTAAGCTCAGCTGCTTAACAAGTCACTAGATTCCCCTCCTTTCTTCATCCAACCAGAACATTATCCTTAAGGTCTTCCTAATTAGCAGTCTGCGTCTAACACCTACTCTAACTATCCAGAGTCACCTAACATATACTTATTTCTTTGTTTTCAGATTCCCATTATCCCTATCTTAACGGGACAACAGGGTCCGAAACCATGCATGTGTTTGCTGTGTACTTATTATCCGCACCTTATCATCAAGTTCTTGAAAAGCTAGAATAAAATAAATCCGTGTCATCCACTATGTGCATCCTCTCTGCCTGAGGACGCCAAGGGTTTCAAGCTGCTGCCTCCCTGTCCTGGTCTGTTTGCGTTATCAGCACTGGGTAAGCGCCCAGGTTCTGCTCCGGGACTAAAACTCATGATCTTCTGGCTCAGGTTCTGTGAACTGAGTCATTCTGGCACTGAGAATATTCCGTGACTCAGCAGGCCCGAAAAGGAGGATGTCAGAATCCAGATAATTTCGAGTCTTTTAAAGGCAAGCCGAGGAACACAAACAACACAGTGGAAGAATTTCGCAGTGGGTCGTGCATACCCAAGGGAAAAATGTCATTCCATTCCCAGCCTTTTCACTTCCTTCCTTGCCCGGGTAAAACGACTGGCTACGGTTTAATTCAGCGGCAGGAAATCGCTTCACGAAACTCATCTGGCTGCTGCGACCAGGCCCTTCTGATTCTCCAGGGACTATGTCGGCCCCCTGGACGACCCAGGACCTCTGCTCTGGAGGGGTTGAGCAGGGCCCCGAGGAGCGGCCGGCGCTCCCGGGTGGGACCCACACCTGGCTGGGCGGGGACCCTTCTGCCGCAGCCCAACTGGGAACGAGGCCCCATGGCCGACCCCGAGCGACCTCCTGACCGGCGTCGCCCCTCTAAGGCGCCCTCCCCCCATCCGGAGTCTCCCTAGGCCGCGGAGCACGGGGACCCCGGCGACTCCCGCGCGGGGAGCCGGGTCTGCGAGGCCGCCCTTCCCTCCCGGCATGCACCACCCCGCCGCCCTGCCCTCCCCTCTCCTCCCCACCCCTCCCCTCTCCTCCCCACCCCTCCCCGGCTCCCCGCCCACCCCACGCGCCCCTCCTCCCCGGTCGCGCGCCGCGGGCCCGAGCGCGAGACGCAGCCGCCCCCGCCCCCGCCGCCGCGTGGAGTCGCCCGGGCGGACGCGCAGTACATGGGGCGCGGAGAGCCGGGTAGCTGCCGCGGGGTCCGCGGGAGCTGCTGAGAGGATACTGGGTTGGGCTTTCTCCTCAACCAGACCCCACCCCACCCTGCCGACCCCACCCCCGGCTCCTTCCTCCCCGGGGGCGCGCGCTCGGGCACGCGCTCGGAAGTCGGGGGTCGGCGCGGAGTGCAGGCTGCTCCCAGGGTGGTGAGGGAGGCGCGGAGGCGGCGCGCGGGGGCAGTGGTCGGCGGGCAGTGCGGTCCTCGCTAGGGGCGCCCACCAGTCAATCTCTCCGGCGCGAGCCGCCGCCACCGCCCGCCCCGGAGACAGGCTCCTGGGCCCCCCGGCTCAAGCAGCGGAGCGGCCTCCGGGGGACACCGCTAGGCGAGAGGAACGTGCCTGCGCCCTTGCCTTCGCCCTGGCCCAGCGTGCGGGCTGCGGGATGAGGGGTAGCCAGCGGGCCGCGCGGACCCTGCGGCCCCGGGGGCGGCTCTGGCCCGTGCTGGCCGTGCTGGCGGCCGCCGCGGCGGGCTGTGCCCGGGCAGCCATGGACGAGTGCACGGACGAGGGCGGGCGGCCGCAGCGCTGCATGCCCGAGTTCGTCAACGCCGCCTTCAACGTGACCGTGGTGGCCACCAACACGTGTGGGACTCCGCCCGAGGAGTACTGTGTGCAGACCGGGGTGACCGGGGTCACCAAGTCCTGTCACCTGTGCGACGCCGGGCAGCCCCACCTGCAGCACGGGGCAGCCTTCCTGACCGACTACAACAACCAGGCCGACACCACCTGGTGGCAAAGCCAGACCATGCTGGCCGGGGTGCAGTACCCCAGCTCCATCAACCTCACGCTGCACCTGGGTAAGCGGTGACAGCCCCGACCCCTGCTACTGCTCGCCAGCAGCGCAGCTCCCAGACCGGCTCCGTCTCCGGGGCCGGCCTCCCGGGCGCAGACAGCCGCGTGTTGCCTCTCTGTTCCCCGGCATGGGCCACACAGAAACTCCTTTCTCCAACTTCTTAAATAGATCTCGCTTTTAACGTCCCGTGAGGGCCGGGATGTTCCGCACAAGATGTCTCTCTGTTTTCCTGTTCTTTCTGACTTAACCGGATTCTGGCTCTGATTATATTGCATTTCGGCTGTTAGGATTGTGGTCTCCCCCACCCCCACCTCCTTTTTTTTTTCTGAGCGTTAATCAGAAACTCTCATCCTCGCTTTTCTCTTTGCTACCAAGGCCATCGCAACGCATTCTTGGATCAGAAACCAGAAGGTCCGCCTTAAACACTTTGGCCTTTAAAATGTTTAGAGGTCTCTCCAGGGCTGAGGGTGACTGCTCTGTTGAGTTAAGGGAATTTGAGGGGAGCAAATGCCTTCGCTGCCTATATTGCCTATGTATAATTAAAACATAAATTCACTTTTGAAGTTATTGTTCTTTAGAGCTGTTCAGACTTAAGAGCCACAAAGCGATGTTACTGCTAATCCTGGTGCAGAATAAACAAAAGGAAGTGCACTCACTGTAATTGCTGGGCACAGCCTTGTCCCTGAGTCAAAAGGCTCTCCTTTACTCTGTTCCCTTTTACTTTCATTCAAAGCAAGTATAGAAACACGTATAAGTGATTTTCAGAAATCAGGAAAAGGATGTATAGAAAACTTCATGGCAGGGCAGTGGATGAGGATGGACATGTGTGTCAGGAAGTACTAAATATAATGTTTGATCTAGGTAAGTTTTTCTTCATCATTCAGATGCGTAAATAAGCAGAAAGTTTCGTTATTGTGTTTAACAGAGGAACCGATGTGTGAGAAACAGACGTTTGACTTAGCGCTTCACTCCCCATTGCCTTGGGAGGCTTGATTATTACCAGTAGCTGGTACTAATGAACTTACAGAGAGAACAGACTGCCCCAAGCCATTCTTCTGTCAAGGGAGGGTAATTCTGTGAGGCTAATATCACTTAGGGGTGTTGGAAAGAAACATGGTGTAGGCAAATGGTTCTTTTGATCATGGTTTTTCTGCTCTCCGGTACACTAAACTTTATGTAAGTATCAGGATTCCAGAGAAAGAATCTGACTTACAAAAAGTACTTTGAAAAGTGGGATTAAACTATTGTATGTGGAATAAGTGTTAGAAAAGCAGAATTATTTAACATCTTTGTAGTAAGTAAATACTATTTTATTTGCAGTTGAGCCATTAAGCAAATGAAACATTTTGAAAATAATTTCATAAAATGTTACTCTGAGGTACCTGTTTTTCAGGGATTGAAGAAATAAAGTGCACTGAGTTCATTTTTTAAAGGTATCGGAAATGTATAGGAGTAGTGTCTTGAACAGATGCCTTTCTAAAGACATAGCTAGTGACTGAGGGTTTCCTAAGATCTGTGCGGTTGCTTTTTATTTTCTCCTATTATGTTTTTTAAGTTGGCCAAAACTATTTTTGAAATTTGTATCTAAGTATTTTTGTTTAATTTTTGACTTGTTAAAGTTTCTGTGTTCAAATTGGAATACTCTTGAAGTCTTATTTTGTTCATTTTCAGATTTTAAAATTTTCAAAGAAAAGGCTTTGCCTGATGTCTCAAATCTCGGATGCCTGAGATTCAATTGACAATTACTGAGCAACAATCTCTTATTTACATAAAGGTGGGGCTGTCAGTCTTGGCTCTCTGAATTTTCTCTTGTAGGCACTGCATAGCTAAAGGTTGTTTAAGGTGATTGCAGAGGTAGATAGATTGCTCAGTGATTACTACCCAGTTGCAGACAATGTGGTAAGGAAGCCCGTATCAGGTAAGTTAGATTGCTTCCACTGGGAGGCAGATATGTTGACTTTGGGTCATGGTTGATTAAAAGGTCAAAAGAGATCCTACAGTTTACCTCTAACCTCACTTTTTTTAACTATAAAATATTTTGTGCTTGGACTTGGTTTTGCTGAAATATTCCTCAACTTTTGTTAGTATTCTTGCTAAACAAAATTTATAAAACTATTGAGTTGAAACTTGTAAGTTAAAAGATATTTATTTTCATACAAGTATTGTGATTATAAAAATATGTATTTTAAACTTTGTAGTTAGACAGTTGATAAAAAACTTCACTAGGATACTTGACTTGTTCTTGGATCAGAAATGACATCCTGGAAGAAGTCATGTGTGGTGGAGGTGGTGGGAAGGTTTGTGTGTAGTGAGGTTGAAGTTTCTCTTTCTCTCTCCCCCCTCCCTCCTCTTTAATGACAAGATTATATGTATACATGTATGTTTTGATCAGCAATTTATGACAAATAGACAAGGTGTTATGTGTCACTGTGTGTTTTGATGTTTAACATATTCACTCCCTAACTCTGGTTATTCCATGGGCTGTAGCTAACTGATTATTTCCCATGAATTCAAGTACCATGACTGTTTTGTGCATCTATTAAATCTCCCTTCCAGTTCAAATTTCACATACCCTTAAACAAGTGATGCATATTGTGCTTTGCCCTTACAGAGCATGTGAAACTAGAAATGAGCAGTGTGAAAGAACGAGGTCTAGCCACCGCTTTACTAGCCTTCCTTTTGATGTTGAGCTTTAAATACAGTAAACTTTAAAATAAGCCCTCAAATCATACATAAGAAATGTAAATAGTTACATGTTTTGGCACTGACTTTTTTTAATTATAAAAATGAAACGTGAGATTTTAAATTCAGACAATAAGTATAATGACAAGTGAGTCTCTTTATAACTAGCTGCTAAGCTTCATGCCCTAGAGACCACCATTCACAATTTTGTATATTAATATGACCCTCTAGAAATTTTTTATGCATACACATGTATATATAAAATTATAGAATCATTTTAACTGGTACTTTTTGGGAGGCTGAGGCGTATTTTAACGGATGACAAATACAAATCTGATCATTGTACCAGTACCATCACTCGCTGTACTAAAGCCAGGAAAATCAGCGTTAATTCTGAACGCAGCCGTCTCTTAAGCACCATATACAGTAATCCAGGGTGCAGGGTACAGTGCATCCTCGGGTAAAAAGAGTTAAAGTTGCTATGGGAACCAGAACTGCACTTTCTGCTTGTTGTGGGGAGAAATCTCAACCAGCCACCCTTTCCTAAAACATCTTTTTTGTTTCGCTTTCAACTTCTGGATGGATTATTCAATTGTTGTTAAAAAGTTTGGCTTTTATGTCTTATAAGTTATAGTAAGTTTTTATCAGCATCAGGTACTTGATAGTAAGATTGTAGCTAAGGACTTGCCTTTTATTAAACAACCCGTTTAATTAATTTGGTAATCATTGTGGATGGAAACTTGGCAGACAGGTCCTAATCTTGAGAAAGGTAGCTTTTCCTCTTTCTAAAAACAATTTGATTAAGGAAAAGAGTGCTTATAAAACCAACCCAATCAAAGTTTATGGAACTCCTAAAATTAACACTGAGACCAGATTAGTTTCCAAGCTCCTCATAAACTATAGGAACCAATAGTGGTTAAACAAAGCTTTTTAATCTATATCTGAGTATCTTTGTGTGTGTGTGTGTGTGTAAGTCAGGATAATTGATACATAAGGCTATTGCCTTTTATTCTCTTTGGTCCTCTGCTGAGTGTGTATGTATTTAATATGGAACAAATGGCAATTTCCCCACCCCCAGGAAAACCTTCGCAAGGTAGGTTCTGACTATGTCAGCGAACAGCTCACTACGGTGACTTCACTGTGGTATTTGTGCACCCCGAGGGGACACTATTTTAGTTTGTCTCACAAAGGCCTGATTTACATTTTGCAGGTTTCAACTTGATAAGTTAAGGAGCTCTTCTTTAATGGCCAGCAGTTGTTGAACACAGTTTTATAAAGGTGCTGTTGGCTGTTTTCCTGTTCTACAGTTCACTGCTTTTTCTGCAAATTCCTTCTTCATTCTAAGGGCATTCACAAGTATTTACACATTAGGGGAGAAGTTGGAGCTATAAGTCCTACCCCCCTCACCTCTTCCATTTGTCATTGGTTACATTTGTGGGAGGAATCAAGTTTTGACTATTTCAATTCTTAATAATTTTAGAAAGCTGGGTATGCCTTTTGCTATGAACTTCTTCCTCCTGTGCATACATTCTCATGTTACTGCCAGATATTCTGCAAACATTTAAAAAAATACTCTTGAAATACATACCACTGTACCTGATAGAAAGACGTAGAAGATTGAGAGTCCTGTCTTCAGAAGATGATACTCTATTAGGAATTTACACACTCATGCCATTACAATAGTAAATCAGCTCATAAGTCCTCATCAATTTATCACTGAGGAGATTTCTCACAAGGCAATGAAGGCAAAGATGCCTGATTTGCCAAAAGTCATGGTGGAGATAGGTCTTTGACGCCATAGTCATTGCATTCATCCTTGCCGCTTCTCTAGCAAGTCTCTCAAAAGAATATCTAGTTTATTCTAAGGAACTTTAAAAATTTCGTGTATACCATGGTTCAGAGATACCAGACTCCTTTGGTTTTCCTTGTTTTTTTTTCTCCTGCTTACTCATTTTTATTTGTGTTCCTGGATTTCTCTCTTTTCATGCTATTCACACTCCGTGGATGAACTCATGTTTGTCTCAAGGCTTTATTTGCAATTTCGTTTGTAAATTTTTAAATTCTAAAGTTGTATTTCTAGTCAGCTCGTTTTCCAGATCTAAAAACATGTTAGTTATGGTCAATTTGGGATGTCCAGAGACCATATTTCAAAGTAAATTCACTCCTTATCTCACCCAACTCAAAGCTCTTTTGGTCTTCCCTATCTCAATGAGCTACACTGCTGTCTGACACTGAAGATCTCCACTGATGTTTCCAAAGTCTTTCCTCAAAGAACCATGTTTGATAGGCTTCATGAGTAAAGACTACTCTAGTGAACAGGTA